CGTTATCAACAAATATCTAATTTATCGCCTTTTACGACATGATTGTTTTGTGGCATTGGGTCTATTAACCCCACCACCCTCTCAATCCCCGAATGGTGCCCAGAACCCGTAAATCCAAGCCAGATGATGGAACATGCATTCTTGTGAAGCCAAACTGTCAAACTACAGAAGATGACTTACCTGTGGGCCAAATATCTGGCTCACTGACCTGGCACAGATCTCCGGAGTATGGACCCAGGCAGGTACAATTGTAGCCTGTGCCATTTTGGCTGCACATATGAAAGTTTTGCGTTATTAAAATGGCTACAAAACAAAATGAAGTAATATTAGTTAATACATCAAGAAGTAACTTGAACATACTGGCACTAAATGAATTGTATTCTCAAGCTCAACTATATATATATATATATATATATATATATATATATATATATATATATATATATATATATATATATATATATATATATATATATATATATATATATGTGTGTGTGTGTGTGTGTGTGCGTGCGTGCGTGCGTGCGTGCGTGCGTGTGCGTGTGTTTGTATGTGTGTGTGTGTGTGTATGTGTGAATTTTAGATTGGAGATCAAAAACATAACACCCTTGCACTCTGGACGTGCTTATGTGTGCTCCGATGCTATTTGTAAGAAACCGACCAATGTACACATATACAGTGACCAAGTGTCTCAGCTCGGTGTTGTGTCAGCTAGCAATTATTTCACTCACCACCCACAGCCACCAACACTTAACTACACGTTTCCTGGTAACCGTTTTGTAGTGCCCAGAATAAGTTTACTGTGTGACTTACAGATGAATACGGTTTCTGAGATTTCCGCCTGTTTCATTTTTAACCTTGAGATGTAAACCTCACAAACTGCAATCGTGGAGAGAAAAACCAAAACAAGAAAGTTCAGTTACAACTACGGCTTTGCTGAGCATATTTCATCTGTCTACGAGTGCCCATCAGTATACGTCTGTAAGTTTTCTGTCTAAACTGACTAGGACAGATTGTTCTGTCGTTTTCTCCTGATGCGATTTTTATCACTAAGAACATTTGCTTACAGGCACCAGAGTGCTGCTGATACCAGGCTGGTGTAGTGGTTACCAGTACCATAACTGTAACTCTTTTAGGTTGAACCGGGTATGCGGGGTTGCCTCGTTGATCTGCCAGCCCCATCCGGGTTGAGATTTGTAATCTATGGATGACAAACTTTCTGACAGCAGTCGGGATGGGTCAAAAACACACCGACATGCGCACTGTGACTGTTTTCATCAGGTGAATATCTAAGCTGGCCATGTGACATAGCCACGGCACAGGTGATTGTCAGAACCTGACTGTTTCAGTCAACTGGCCATGTCACATAGCCACGACACGGGTGATTGTCAGAACCTGGCTGTTTCCGTCAACTGAACATCTAAGCTGGTCATGTCACATAAACACGACATGTGTGTTTGTAATTAGGACGATCAACGGGTAGTCGCTGCCTCTGTCAAATGTAAGGGGTGGGGGGAGGGGGGCTTATGTTTATCTATGCTTATCGATAAGGCACATGATCATGGTTATATTTTCCTGAAGAAGAGGCGCTTCCTGTAGTGAGCACTGTTCGCCCTTCTTCGATGTTCGTTCACCAGTCTTCTTGTAGTGAGCACTGTTCGCCCTTCTTCGATGTTCGTTCACCAGTCTTCTTGTAGTGAGCACTGCTCGCCACAGTTCATTGCCAGTTCATCAGTCTTCTTGTAGTGAGCACTGCTCGCCACAGTTCATTGCCAGTTCATCAGTCTTCTTGTAGTGAGCATTGCTCGCCCTTGTTCGTTGTTAGTTCACCAGTCCTCTTGTAGTGAGCACTGCTCGCCCCAGTTCGATGTTAGTTCACAAGTCTTCGTGTAGTAAGCACTGCTCGCTGAAGCTCATTGCTTGTTGGCCAGTCTTATTGTAGTGAGCACTGTTAAATTTCACGTTTCTATCTTCATTATTCGCGGAGGAAAATAAATGTGACAAATACTTTCTGAATTCCCATGGCGTAATTTTTATATTAAAAACTTGTCTAATGGGAATTTTGCACCTCACGCTGGCACATATCCTACAATGTCCTTTAACCGTAGCTGACTTTCTGTCAGTAATAGTGCTATCAGTATAGTTGATGTGGTCTTCTGTTTACTAGTAGCAGTAGATTTTACCGCACCAGGACATCACACAAGTGTTAAACACCCGATGACACAATGTGCCACCATGTGGATGAGGATGTGCCACCATGTGCATGAGGATTACCCGTGGACATAGCCACGACACGGGTGATTGTCAGATCTTGTTTCCGTCAACTGGCCATGTCATTTAGCCACGACAGGGGTGATTGTCAGATCCTGTTTCCGTCAACTGGCCATGTCTCATAGCCACGACACAGATGATTGTCACATCCTGTTTCCATCAACTGGCCATGTCTCATAGCCAAGACACGGGTGATTGTTAGAGCATGACTGTTTCCATCAATTGGCCATGTCACATAGACACGACACGGGTGATTGTCAGAACCTGGCTGTTTCCGTCAACTGAACATCTAAGCTGGCCATGTCACATAACCACGACATGTGTGTTTGTAATTAAGACGATCAACGGGTAGTCGCTGCCTCTGTCAAATGTGGGGGGGGGGGACTTATGTTTATCTATGTTCATCGATAAGGCACATGATCATGGTTATGACATTTTCCGGAAGAAGAGGCGCTTAGTGAATTTTTGTTGCACAAAAAAGGGGCGGCGGCCCGAACAAGTTTGGGAACCTATATCTACATCTACACAAAATCCACTTGCCTGTTGGAGCAGGAACCATTGTTGAGACATGGCTGTGACTGGCAGGCGTCCTTGCTGGTGTTGCACGTGGCCCCTTCCCATCCTTCAGCGCACGAGCAGACGTAGGTATATTGAGACGTGTGCTGAAGACACACACCGCCGTTCTGACACAGGTTGGGAACACACGGATTCGTCATCACAGAACAGTTCTTGCCTGCCAGTTACATACAGAAATATTACAACAGTCTTGAAATCAAAACTTTCAGAAGATAAATAAGTGATCTATGTCCAGTTCCTGCAGGGTTTATGGTACCAGCCCCTTATCTGTAAGGATCAATTAGTATACAGGGAGCCTAGTAGCTAGACGCTTGCCTTTGGCTCAAAAATGTCTCAAATCCACCATAAGAAAATAACTGACCTGTTCCTGGATTGGTCAAGCCTAAAATGGGTGCACGCATATATTATTGTAGTACCCAAAAAAAAAAAATAATAATAATAAAAATTTACGATAAAATTGTTTTATAACAATAATAATTAAAGTAAGTTTACCACTAATATATACAAAAACACCCGTGAATACATTTTTTTTAAATGGCATTCCCCAAACGCACAACACAAACACACGCACAAGGACGAAGAAAGCATATTGTGTATGTCTGAGTCAACCCGAGACAGTTATGAGTATTCTATTGTTTTAATACATAGAAATGAGACAAGTTGGAAGGGCATGGCGCGCATCAGATTGGGATCTATACTCGACTGGGGATTAAAGAGAGCAATCGAAGAGGAGAATTATTATTAGTGGAAGCGATGGTGGTGTTAGTAGTAGTGGTGGTGGTGGTGGTAGTGGTGGTGATGGTAGTTGTGATTGTATTAGTAGTAGTAGTAGTAGTAGTAGTGGTGGTGGTTGTGGTAGTGGTAATTGTTTTAGTATTAGCAGCAGCAGCATCAGCAGTAGAACTAGTAGCAGCCTAATATCTGTAGTATTCGTACTGTTTTAACTATTTATTAGATAGAATGTTAGTGTGTGTTTGTGAGTGAGTGAGTGTGTGAGTGAGTGAGTGAGTGAGTGAGTGAGTGAGTGAGTGAGTGAGTGAGTGAGTGAGTGAGTGAGTGAGTGAGTGAGTCAGTGAGTGAGTGAGTCAGTCAGTCAGTCAGTCAGTGAGTCAGTGAGTGAGTGAGTGAGTGTGTGAGTGAGTGAGTGAGTGAGGGAGGGAGGGAGGGAGGGAGGGAGTGAGTGAGTGAGTGAGTGAGTGAGTGAGTGAGTGAGTGAGTGAGTGAGTGAGTGAGTGAGTGAGTGAGTGAGTGAGTGAGTGAGTGAGTGAGTGAGTGAGTGAGTGAGTGAGTGAGTGAGTCAGTCAGTCAGTCAGTCAGTCAGTCAGTGAGTCAGTAAGTGAGTGAGTGAGTGAGTGTGTGAGTGAGTGAGTGAGTGAGTGAGTGAGGGAGGGAGGGAGGGAGTGAGTGAGTGAGTGAGTGAGTGAGTGAGTGAGTGAGTGAGTGAGTGAGTGAGTGAGTGAGTGAGTGAGTGAGTGAGTGTGTGAGTGAGTGAGTGAGTGAGTAAGTGAGTGAGTGAGTGAGTGAGTGAGGGAGTGAGTCAGTGAGTGAGTGAGTGAGTGAGTGAGTGTGTGAGTGAGTGAGTGAGTGAGTGAGTGAGTGAGTGAGTGAGGGAGGGAGTGAGTGAGTGAGTGAGTGAGTCAGTCAGTGAGTGAGTGAGTAAGTGAGTGAGTGAGTGAGTGAGTGAGTGAGTGAGTGAGTGAGTGAGTGAGTGAGTGAGTGAGTGAGTGAGTGAGTGAGTGAGTGAGTGAGTGAGTGAGTGAGTGAGTGAGTGAGTGAGTGAGTGAGTGAGTGAGTGCGGAGTGAGTGAGTGGGTGAGTAAGTGAGTGAGTGAGTGAGTGAGTGGGTGGGTGGGTGGGTGAGTGAGTGAGTGAGTGAGTGAGTGAGTGAGTGAGTGAGTGAGTGAGTGAGTGAGTGAGTGAGTGAGTGAGTGAGTGAGTGAGTGAGTGAGTGAGTGAGTGAGTGAGTGAGTGAGTGAGTGAGTGAGTGAGTGAGTGAGTGAGTGAGTGAGTGAGTGAGTGAGTGAGTGAGTGAGTGAGAAAGAGAGAGAGTGTGTGTGATATGACTTTGTGGCTTGTCCACAATTTCCCGGGTCTTGCAAGATAGATCACCAATCACTGGTATTATTTGAACTGTCAATATGTTTGCTGATGTGTTTAATTACCCGAGTAGCTGTGTGGGCAACTGCATGTATAGTCCCCAGGTAGGTTGCTGCATTGTCCCGAGTGACAGAAGGATAAGGCACACTCGTCGATGTCTTGGGTACACTGGGTTCCTTGCCATCCTAAAAGTGAGGGCAAAGATATCAGTTGTCATTGCTGGTCTTGTCTAGGCTGAGCTGCTAGAACTATCTCTGTTAGATCTGCCTGTGATTGTCTTTATCTTAGATCTGTCGCTGTTAGGTCTGTTTATATGTTAGATCCATCACTGTGATAGGTCTTTCTCTATGTTAAATCTGTCGCTGTGTTAGGTCTATTTATATGTAAGACCTGCCACTGTGTTAGGTCTGTTTAAATGTAAGATCTGTCACTGTGTTAGGTCTCTCATTATGTCAGATCTGTCGCTGTGTTAGGTCTATTTATATGTTAGATCTGTCTCTATTCTAGGTCTGTTTATATGCTAGATCTGTCTTTGGTATCAATGTACTCACTAACCAGGTGTCTTAACTTCCTTAGTCCGGTCACTGCCGTATCAATGTACTCAAACACCAGGTGTCCTAACTTCCCCAGTCCGGTCACTGCCGTATCAATGTACTTACTCACCAGGTGTCTTAACTTTCCTAGTCCGGTCACTGCCGTATCAATGTACTCACTCAACAAGTTTCTTAACTTTCCTAGTCCGGTCACTGCCGTATCAATGTACTCACTCACCAAGTGTCTTAACTTTCCCAGTCCGGTCACTGCCGTATCAATGTACTCACTCACCAAGTGTCTTAACTTTCCTAGTCCAGTCACTGCCGTATCAATGTACTCACTCACCAACTGTCTTAACTTTCCCAGTCCGGTCACTGCCATATTAATGTACTCACACACCATGTGTCCTAACTTCCCCAGTCCGGTCACTGCCGTATCAATGTACTCACACACCAGGTGTCCAAACTTCCCCAGTCAGGTCACTGCCGTATCAATGTACTCACTCACCAAGTGTCTTAACTTTCCTAGTCCAGTCACTGCCGTATCAATGTACTCACTCACCAGGTGTCTTAACTTTCCTAGTCCAGTCACTGTCGTATCAATGTACTCACTCACCAAGTGTCTTAACTTTCCTAGTCTGGTCACTGCCGTATCAATGTACTCACTCACCAAGTGTCTTAACTTTCCTAGTCTGGTCACTGCCGTATCAATGTACTCACTCACCAAGTGTCTTAACTTTCCTAGTCTGGTCACTGCCGTATCAATGTACTCACTCACCAAGTGTCTTAACTTTCCCAGTCCGGTCACTGCCGTATCAATGTACTCACTCACCAAGTGTCTTAACTTTCCTAGTCCAGTCACTGCCGTATCAATGTACTCACTCACCAACTGTCTTAACTTTCCCAGTCCGGTCACTGCCATATTAATGTACTCACACACCAGGTGTCCTAACTTCCCCAGTCCGGTCACTGCCGTATCAATGTACTCACACACCAGGTGTCCAAACTTCCCCAGTCAGGTCACTGCCGTATCAATGTACTCACTCACCAAGTGTCTTAACTTTCCTAGTCCAGTCACTGCCGTAACAATGTACTCACTCACCAGGTGTCTTAACTTTCCTAGTCCAGTCACTGTCGTATCAATGTACTCACTCACCAAGTGTCTTAACTTTCCTAGTCTGGTCACTGCCGTATCAATGTACTCACTCACCAAGTGTCTTAACTTTCCTAGTCTGGTCACTGCCGTATCAATGTACTCACTCACCAAGTGTCTTAACTTTCCTAGTCCAGTCACTGCCGTATCAATGTACTCACTCACCAGGTGACTTAACCTCCCCAGTCTGGTCACTGACGTATCAATGTACTCACTCACTAGGTGTTTTAACTTCCCCCAGTCTGGTCACTGACCTATCAATGTACTCACTCACCAGGTATTTTAACTTCCCCCAATCTCGTCACTGACCTATCAATGTACTTACTCACCAGGTGTTTTAACTTCCCCCAGCCCCGTGACTGACCTATCAATGTACTCACTCACCAGGTATTTTAACTTCCCCCAATCTCGTCACTGCCGTATCAGTGTACTTACTCACCAGGTGTTTTAACTTCCCCCAGCCCCGTCACTGACCTATCAATGTACTCACTCACCAGGTATTTTAACTTCCCCTAATCCCGTCACTGCCGTATCAGTGTACTTACTCACCAGGTGTTTTAACTTTCCCCAGTCTGGTCACTGACCTATCAATGTACTCACTCACCAGGTATTTTAACTTCCCCTAATCCCGTCACTGACGTATCAATGTACTCACTCACCAGGTGTTTTAACTTCCCCCAGTCTGGTCACTGACCTATCAATGTACTCACTCACCAGGTATTTTAACTTCCCCTAATCCCGTCACTGACGTATCAATGTACTCACTCACCAGGTGTTTTAACCTCCCCAAATCCCGTCACTGCCGTATCAGTGTACTTTCTCACCTGGTAAGCAGAGCTTTCTGCCCGTGCCCGGCTCACACAAGTAGTGGCCGGTGCTGGAGTTGTCGGCCACACACATGACATTACACGATGTGGTGTAGTAGTTAGCGTCACAGTACATACGCACTCTGAATCGCATTCTGGGAACAAGAAACAAATCCTCACTTGATTGGCAGCTGTCACCAAGGTAACCAGGGTACAGAAAACAGGTTGGTCTACACAATGGTGGAAGGTGTGGAATAGAGTTGGAGGTGTGGAATAGGCTGGAAGATGTAGAAAAGAGCGACAGGGGTGGAATAATGTGGAATAGAGTGGAAGGTTGGAATAGTGTGGAATCTGCGAAATATAGCAAACGTATGGAATAGTGTGTGTCAGGTCTTGGTCAGATATGACTAAACTACCGTATAACAGTAGCCGGTACCACCTGTCTTCTGTTAACGCCAACTGCGTATGCCAAAAATGACCTCCCACACTGTGTCAACGGCTTCGGGTGGGGGCGCATTGGGGAGGATACTATCCTTATTCTAGGAAGAAGAAATGCAACCTGAAAAATTTGATGTTATGGCAGGGCAGACCAAACCCTTAGCCTAGGCTGGCAGCCGGTCTAGAAGTGAAGCTCCGACGGAGGCTGACAGATGGAGCACTGCTTTTCTGGTACTGCAGTGTCTGCAGCAGGCTTTGTTCCAAACGTACTAGTGTTGCCTTTCTTTTGAACTAAATGAGGCAGGCGAGAGAGGAATCATGATGCATGGGCAACATATGGCCTCTACAATAATGCCCATGCTTTGTGCTATGGAGAGGATGAACTTCATCCCTGGCCGTATTTGGTCTCGGAAACAAATCGAGAGGCAGCAGTTACGGGTTATAAGTCCTTGTCAACTGGCGTAGACGGGGGAGCCACGGGTTGCCTCTGACGGTGGGAGACATCTTTGAATGTCACTGATCAGCCGCCGCCCGACTCAAGCTGGAAAGTCCCCAGCCAATAAGGTGTTGATCCGCCACAGCCTGTGTGCTTCAATGGGTGCTTGGAGCTAGGACAAAATCCGAACTGCAGGCTGTAAAAACCAGTGTACTAGGCAATAAAAAGAAACATAACCCCATAAGCTTTGACTTGACTCATTGAACGTGAGGACCATGTGTCCCAGGTTTTCCACTGACCTGGAAATCATTAGTGATGTAAGAAAAATATCTATCAATAATGCCGAACTCAACAAACTTGACATAGGCATTGCTGGCCTACAGGAAAAACAATTACCAGAGGATGGGTCCATTCGAAAAAATAATTATACATTCTTCTGGAAAGGCAGAGGCCAGGAAGAAATCCGGAAGTATTGAGGTGGATTTGCTGTAAAGAATTTACTGCTGGGATCAGGTGAGAGTCCAGCTGGAGGAAGTGACAGATGATTGTCTACCTCAAGCGATTTTATTACCCTGGTTACTGCATATGTACCAACTCTAACGCCAACAGAGGACGCAAAGGATTGTTTTGATGAGGAACTGGAGACAGCAGTGAAAGCAATTCCTAAATCTGACAGCATCTTCATACTTGGTGATTTTAATGCTCGCAAAAGGTCGGACTCAAACTCATGGCCAGTTTGCCTTAAAAGTTCTAATGTTGGTCACATAAATGAAAATGGGCAGAGACTATTGGAATTCTGCACTAGAAGTGACATATATATCAGAAACTCCTTTTCGAAACAAAATCACCATAAGGTGTCATGGAAACATCCAAGATCTTGCTACTGGCACCAGCTGCACATTATTCTCACCAGTACGCAGCATTAGTGGTGATATTTGAGGCATGAGAGTGGGGATAAAGAAGGCAATCGGCCCAGCAATTAAAAAAAAAAAAGGGCACCACAAAAAATTTTATGGGATACTATTTATGACAAGAAGAAGCAGCTGGTTAGATGGATGGAACATTATCTGGAGCTGTAAACGAACAGATTGTGCTCCTAATGCCATGAAGATGCTGCCAACCCTTGAATATCTGGACACATTTTCAACAATTGTGGAACTTGGGAATGCTGTTAATGAACTGGCCTCGGAAAAAGCCCCAGGCAGCGATAGAATTTCTGTTGAGATCATAAGGAGTGGGAAAGACACTCTAACTCCACACATTCATCAGCTAATAACACACTGCTGGCGTGGGGGAAAAGGGGCGGGCTTCAAAGATTTAAGCATCATAACTATGTACACGAACAAGGGTGATCGGGGTGACTGCAATAACCACAGGGGAATATCACTGCTGTGTACTGTTGGAAAAGTACTTGCGAGAATAGTTCTACGAAGACTCCAGATTCGAAGACACCGGGTTTACCCAGAGTCACTGTGTGGCTTTCGAACCCGTCTACGATTAATATGATATTGTCATTACGACAGTTGCAGGAACAATGCCGTGAAAAAAAAAAATTAACTAACCGGAAAGATGGAAAAGTGCTAATGAATGTGGCATTTGTGGAATATAGTGACGTGTGTGGAACACTGGGAATTGTGTGGGATAGTAAGGAAGGTTGGAAAAGTGCGGAAGGCAGGAATAGAGCAGAAGGTGTGGAATTGTGTAAAATAGAGTGGGTGGTGTGGAGAACAGCAGACTGCTGTCTGTAGATTTGACGAACATAAAGGATTGTAGTCACCTTACCAACGATGGGAAGTCAACGTTTTAATTAGCAGAACTATCACACAGAGAAGAAAAACTGTGCATAAGACAGATGGACTCACAAAACTACAACACAGAGAAGTTAAAGGATAAAACGAGAGAATTATGAACTTATCAAACTTCAGCCAAACTTAGTATATTATGCAGTACATTATCACTGACATGACCATATGATAGAAGCTATAAGTGAAAGTTTTCAACTCATAACAAATACAACACAGAGAGGATAAATCCTACAAGAGAGAGGTGGACTCACGTGTGAGAATTGTCAGACATCACCCTGTCTGCCCACACGGCTTGCTCACGGCTGGGCCAGATGGTCTCATTCAGCACTTTGCCCCAGGTGTGCATTTCTTCCGTGGAAAGCAGGTCCACGTCCGTGGCTTTGATGACCAACAT